AAATCCAGCTTAAACCAGCCTAGGCTGGTAGGCTTATTTTAGCTTGTTGACCAGGCTGGTTTTAGATGGGTTTTGGGCATTTCCAGGCTGGTTTCCAGCCATTTCCAACCTGGTCTTAGCTGGTCAGGCTGAAAAATGACCAGCTAAATCCAGCTAAAACCAGCTTGACCAGGCTGGTTTAAGCTGGACATAACTGGTTTTGGCTGGGCTCCCAGCCTGGCTAGGCTGGTCAAGCTGGTTTTAGCTGGTCATCTCCCAGCCTGACCAGCTAAGACCAGGCTGGAAATGGCCTGAAACCAGTCTGGAAATGGCCAAAACCCCTCTAAAACCAGCCTGGTTGACCAGCTAAAACCAGCCAACCAGCCTAGGCTGGTTTAGGCTGTTTTTTTTCAGTAGGGTGGATATAGTCTGGATACTTATTGATTTCCTATGGTGGTCACTTTTGACCGGAAACACCACAGGTGTAACAAAGTTGATTAAAATACTCAAAATTCAACGAAAGAGGTGATCGTCACTTCAATATGTTTATGATATAATATAAATATAATATTTATGAGTGTTTTCAGTTGTAAATCGGTCAGATTTGACCCGAACACAACAGGAAGGTAAAAGGTATTCTGTGTGCAAACATAATAGGTAAATGAGGAGAGTGTCTAGCACAAGGGAAGCACAGAGCAATAATTCTCCACCACACAGCATATAAATAATTCTTAAGCAGCATGAAAATAAAAACTGCAGAAAGTGCTGGCTCAGCACAAACACAAATGAAGATCACAAACAACACAATATCAACAAAACATAAGGCATGTGTGTGTATCTGTGTAAGAAAACAGGATACATCTGCAGCTCATCAAGCATAATATTATACCAAAACGTACATTGTCTTGTTAAAAGCAAGCAAAGTGGGTATTTTAGATTATTTCCCTGCTAAAAAATCCAGCTTACACCAGCCTAGGCTGGTTGGCTGGTTTTAGTTGGTTGACCAGGCTGGTTTTAGAGGGGTTTTGGCCACTTCCACGCTGGTTTCCAGCCATTTCCAGCCAGGTTTTAGCTGGTCAGGCTGGGAGTTGACCAGCTAAAACCAGCTTGATCAGCCTAGCCAAGCTGGGAGCCCAGCCAAAACCAGCTATGTCCAGCTTAAACCAGGATGGTCAAGCTGGTTTTAAATGGTTTTAGCTGGTCTGGCTGGAAACCAGCCTGGAAGTGGCCAAACCCCTCTAAAACCAGGCTGGTCTCGTTTTGTCTCGTTTTACGCTTGATGTATTTTAATGACATTACAACATCGATGCTGTATAAGGAACCGTATAAAATGGAGAAAAGTTCACAATAACAGGTCACCGGAAGTGTATCAGCATGGGAACAGCACTAGCTCGGCATATACCCTATGGTTACAGGTTTTTAGATTTCTTCAAAATATCTTCTTTTGAGTTCAACAGATGAAATAAATGTTTGGAAACACTCGAGGGAGGGTATTTTTTTGGGGGGGAGGGTAAACTATCCCTTTAAGGATGTCAGCTTGATGCTCAGTTTCATTATGAGGTGCATTCCAAAACAAAACAAGCGAAAACAAATCTTTAGACCAAGTGTTTGAAGAATGTTGAAGAAATTAATGTGATGATAGAAAGTTGCTAGATACCGTTTTCAGTAAAAGAAAATCTCTTAAAGGGTTCGTTCACACAAAAATGTAATTATCTCATCATTTACTCCCCCTCATATTGTTTTTAAACCTTTATGAGTTTCTTCCTTCTGTTGAACACAAAAGAAGATATTTCGAAGAAGGTGGAAACCTGTAACCGTTGACATCCATTGACATTCTTGTACAATCTGAGACCCACTTTAAACAGGATATCACTCAGCTAGTGGAGATCGCTGATTTTTAAAGAAAACAGACCTTAAACGCACCGGGTTTTGCATTCGCCGGAAGCGCTTAACCCAGGTTACTGGCAAATTAAAAGTCCTATTAGCATGCTTCGGCATATACCCCATTGACTTCCATAGTAGGAAAAACAAATGGAAGTCAATGGTTACAGGTTTCCATCTTTCTTCGAAATATCTCCTTTTGTGTTCAACAGAAGAAAGAAACTTATAAAGGTTTAAAAGCAACATGAGGGGGGTAAAATAATTAAAAAAAACTGTGTGAATTGACTCTTTAAGAGACTTGTTTTTACTGAAAAGTGTATTTAGCAACTTTTTATCATCACACACACTTCTTAAATGTTAACCACTTGGTCAAAAGATTTGATGTCGCTTGTTTTGGCATCCACCTCGTAATGAGTTTAAGCATCGAGCTGACATCCTTAAAGAGATAGTTCACCAAAAAAAATGAAATTTACTTTATCTCAAGTGTTTTTAAACCTTAATGGGTGCATTTTATCTGTTGAACACAAAAGAAGATACTTTATAGAAAGCTGAGAGCCTGTAACCATTTACTTCCATAGTAGCAAAAAACAAATACTATAGAAGTCAATGGTTACAGGTTTCCGTCTCTTATCAGAATATCTCCTTTTGTGTTCAACAGAAGAAAGAAACTAATAAAGGTTTGAAGCAAGTAAAGCATTAATAAATAATGACAGAATCAGCATTTTTGTGTGAACTATCCCTTTAAATAAGTGCATTGAACACATGGAGAGAGAAAAAAAAAGGGGAGAGAAAGAGAGAGACCTGATCTCCGGCACACAAGCACCTCCTCAGCAAGGTGCTGTAATATGAAACTCTGCAGTGCAAATGCTTTATAAGTGTTGGAGTTAAACAGCAGCAAATCTCCACACGAAAGCGCAACACACTCCATCACAATAAACATCTTTTCATGAAACAAACCAAATGCTTCTCAATGCAGAAGGAAAACCTATAATGCTTCATTTCTTTACACACAGGTGTTAAAATAGACTGGTTCTGAGAGATTTCTTACTCTAACCACATTATATTATTAAGCAACACATCTCAAAACTGCTTAAGCACTGCTTGTTTTGAGCTATAACATTAAAATGCATTACTTATCACCTCTGCTTTTCTTATATATGTACAGTATATTGATATTTTTTAGAACTAGACATTAAGTATTATGAAAAGCACTACATACATTTATATATGGCCTTTTACGTGCTTTTTTTTAGCCCCTGATAGTCTAATCCCAATAGTAATTTATAAATGTAGCAAAATTTTATTTAATTTAACTCAAATATTCCTGTCCATGTTATTTTCTATCCTCAATGTTTGATCATTAGAATACAAATGTATATATTAGCTAATATATGTAAATGTGTACAGTATGTACCCATGCAAGACTGATAGTGACGCTTAACTCGGCAGTGGGGTTGCCTGTTTTGAACTACTGTGTAGTACTGGAGCTACGTACATTACATATCTGCATCGTATGGCTGTTTTTTCATATATGACAGCATCAAATAAATGCAGTCTCTGTTATTTAAAATAAATGCAAAAAAAAAGAAAAAAAGAAAAATAAATGCATCTAATTTTAAATTAATGGCAGAGTTATTTATTTTGTTTAGGATCTGGAGGTATGCACACAAATAATACAGTTTTAGCTTTTAAAAATACATGCATGTAATTTTAAATTGATTGCATTGTTTTTTGTATGAATTAATAACACCAGTTGACCTGTATGTGTGCCAGTATTATGGCAGTATGCACAGAAATAATACAGTTTTAGCTATTAAAAAAACATGCATGTAATTTTAAATTGATTGCATTTTTTGTATGAATTAATAACACCCACTGACCAGTACGTGTGCCAGTATGCAAAAAAAAATGCAGTTTTGGCTAATAAAATGCATATGTATTATTTAAAATGTATTGCATATTTAATATTTAAAATAATAACACCCACTGAACTGTGTGCCAGTATTATGACCCTATAAAGTTTCAGCTACTTAAAATACAATTAATTTTAAATGTATAGCATTGTGTTTTCTAATAAATAATAACAAGTATTTACAGTATGCACCGTAATAATGCAACTGCAGCTGTTTAAAAATACATGCATGTCATTTTAAAGTTATTGCATTGTTTTTGATTAAATAATAACACCCAATGACAATATAAACATAAATAATGCAGTTTTAGCTACTTAAAATGCACGCATTTCGTTTTAAAATTGATGCATTCTGTTCTCTATGAAATAATAGCACCCTTTTGGCTATGTGCCAGTATGACAGTATGCATTTGCAGTTATTTAATTTTAAATTGCTTGAAATAATAACACCTATTGACGTGCCAGTATTATGACAGTATGCATCTTGTCATTTGATTTTAAATTGATTGCATCAATTTTTCTATGAAATAATGACACCCATCAGTGTGCCAGTATTATAACCCTTTGAAATTTCAACTATTAAAAATACACACATTTAATTTTAAATTTATTGCATTTTTCTATGAAAAATTGACAGTGTGCAGAGAAATAATGCAGTTTAAAAACAGAAGCATGTCATTTTTTTATTTATTGCATTATTTTTGATTAATTAATAACACCCAATGACAGTACAAACATAAATAATGCAGTTTTACCTTCTAAAAATACATGCATTTAGTTTTAAAATGAACGCATTATGTTTACTATGAAATTATAACACCCTTTGAGCTGTGCCATTATGACAGTATGCATTTTCATCTGTTTTAATTTAAATTGACTGAAATATTAACACCTATTGATCTATGTGCCAGCATTATGACAGTATGCATCTTGTCATTTGGTTTTAAGTTGATTGCATTATTTTGTCTATGAAATAATAATGCCCTGTACGTGTGCCAGTATGCACATAAATAATCCCGTTCCACAGGCATTTAACTTGAAATCCATTGCATTGTTCTTTCTTTCTACGAAGTAACACAGATTGAGCATTACAGCAACCTCTTGTTTTGATCTTGGTGCAGCAGCAGCGGCGGATCAGCTCACCTGTGCCTGCACGTGTTCACACAGCAGCCGTACACCGCCTTCCCCCTTCCCTCCTCCCGCTTGCCAACTTATCCCTCTTCCCTACCTTGCGCTTTTTCTCCCGCGATCGGCTCCTCTTCTTGGACTTCTCCTCCTCCTTCTCCTTCCTCTCCTGCTCGGCGAGAGCCTCTAAATCCTTGTTTTTGCGCAGATGTTTGGCGGCTTGTGCCATGGTGCCGTTCGCAGCCGGAGAGCGCCGTGCCGGGCAGGGGAGGCTCTGTAGATCCGCTGATGGATGCTGGTGCTCGGCTCATGCAGTCCTGCAGTATGTGTTGTGTGTGCGTGTGTGTGTGTGTGTGTGTGTCCCGCTCTCTCTCTGTCTCTTTCCTCCAATGCAGCACTAGTTAGTCAGACAGACCTGAGAGAGGCTTCATTGAGAGGGATTCTGCTGCAGCACTGCGCACCTCTCTCTCTCTCTCTCTCTCTCTCTCTCTCTCTCTCTCTCTCAATTCAGTTCAGTTCAATTCAAGCTTGCTCTATCGGTATGACAAGTGTTACACTGAACATATAAACAAATGATGTGGTGATAAAACAAACAATAATTAAAAGTGTAATGTACAATTGATTCATATAACAATTAAATATTGAGTGTGTGTGTGTCACACATACTGCCAATGTGTATAGCAGAGAGGGGAGTCAATATAAATAGTAGTAATAACAATATTGAATTTAATAATAATAATAATATATTCAAAAATAGAAAGGAATATATAGTAAATGTAACAATAAAAATACATGTATGTTCATGTAAAACATCTCTCATTCATTCATTTCTTTTCAGCTTAGTTCCTTTAATGATCAGTGGTCGCCACAGTGGAATGAACCACTAACTTATCCAGCGTATGTTTTACGCAACCCAACACCAATACACACTCTTTCACACACATACACTATACAGACAATAGCCTTTCCAATTCCCCTATAGCACATGTGTTTAAACCGTGGGGGAAACCGGAGCTCTCGGAGCAATCCCACGCCAACACGGGGAGAACATGCAGTCCCTCCACACTGAAACGCCAACTGGCCCAGCCGGGACTCAAACCAGTGACCTTCTTGCTGTGAGGCGATCGTGCTACTCACTGCGCCACCGTGATGTTCATCTCTCTTTCACAGTATTGCTAAAGCAATTAAACAATACATAGAACAAGAATATATCTTTAAAATAATTAATATGTACATGTCTATTATAAACAAAGTAAATAAATATATAAGTAAATATTGGACAATAGAAGATTGGAGAAACGTTGCCTGGTCTGATGAATCTCCATTTCTGCTGCCACATTCGAGTGGGTCAGAATTTGGAGTCAACAGCATGAAAGCATGGATCCATCCTGCCTTGTATCAACAGTTCAGACTGGTGTTGGTGGTGGTGTAATGGTGTGAGGGATACTTTCTTGGCACACTTTGGGCCCATTAAGACCAATTAAGCATCGTATTGCTGCTGACCATGTCCATTCCTTTATGACCACAGTGTCCTCATCTTCTGATGGCTACTTCCAGCAGGATAATGCACCATGTCAAAGCTTGAATCATCTCATACTGGTTTCCTGTACATGACAATGAGTTCACTGTACTCAAATGGCCTCCACAGTCACCAGCTCTCAATCCAATAGAGCCCCTTTTGGATGTGGTGGAACGGGAGATTCACATCATGGATGTGCAGCCGACAAATCCAGCCGGTCCAACCCGGTACTTGTAAGGTGTACCTAATAAAGTGGCCGGTGAGTGTATATACACACACACGAGTTTGTCTACTGCCTCCATGTCTCTCTCTCTCTCTCTCTAATGCATGCATCTTGTCTTTTTTATTGCTTTGGTTAAGATTGTTGATTGATTTTATGCAGATTCTTCATGTTGCTTTGAACGTTTTGAGAATATTTGGTGTACTGAAGATGTTTTAGGTTCTGTTATTGATGACGAACTTCACTTCACAATATGTCAAATGTTTTTTTATTGATTTTATTGAATTCTCTCTCAAGTCAATTCATTAAGAGCTTTGGGGTGGCCCACTGAAGCTAAGCAGTACCTTGGGAGACCACATGGGAAAGCTAGGTTGCTGTCGGAAGTGTTGTTAGTGAGGCCAGCAGGGGGTGCTCAACCTGCGGTCTGTGTGGGACCTAATGCCCAAGTACAGTGAAGGGGACTCTATACTGCTCAGTGAGCGCAGTGTTTTGAATGAGATGTTAAACCTAGGTCCTGACTCTCTGTGGTCATTATCCATCATGACCTCCTAACAATCCCAATATGATAATTGGCTTCATTAGTCGGTCTCCTCTCCTCACACCAATGAGCTGGTGTGTGGTGTGCGGTCTGGCACAATATAGCTGCCATCATGTCATACAGGTGGATGCTGCACACTGGTGGTGGATGAGGAGATTCCCTCCAATGTGATAAGTGCTTTGAGTGTCTAGAAAAGCGCTATATACATTTACATTTACATTTAGTCATTTAGCAGACGCTTTTATCCAAAGCGACTTACAAATGAGGACAAGGAAGCAATTTACACAACTAAGAGCAACAATGAATAAGTGCTATAGGCAAGTTTCAGGTGTGTAAAGTCTAAGAAGGGAAGTATTAGTAGTATTAGTATTTTTTTTTTTTTTTTTTTTGTACAGTTAGTGGTATATTCAAAGAGGCAATTGCAGATTAGGAAGTGAAGTGGAGACTAAATAGTTGAGTTTTTAGTCGTTTCTTGAAAGTAGCGAGTGACTCTGCTGTTCTGATGCAGTTAGGGAGTTCATTCCACCAACTGGAAAGATTGAGCGTGAGCGTTCGCGAAAGTGATTTCTTCCCTCTTTGGGATGGAACCACGAGGCGACGTTCATTCACAGAACGCAAGTTTCTGGAGGGCACATACATCTGCAGAAGTGAGAGCAGATAAGAAGGAGCAAGGCCAGAGGTCACTTTGTAAGCAAACATCAGAGCTTTGAATTTGATGCGAGCAGCAACTGGCAGCCAGTGCAAACGGACTAGCAGCGGAGTGACATGTGCTCGTTTAGGTTCATTGAAGACAACTCGTGCTGCTGCATTCTGGAGCAGTTGAAGAGGCTTGATAGAGTTAGCTGGAAGCCCAGCTAGTAGAGAGTTGCAGTAATCCAGTTTGGAGAGAACAAGTGCTTGAACAAGGAGTTGAGCTGCATGTTCAGATAAGAAGGGTCGGATCTTTCTGATGTTATAGAGTGCGAATCTGCACGATCGAGCAGTTCTAGAAATGTGGTCAGAGAAGTTTAGTTGGTCATCAATCGTTACTCCAAGGCTTTTCACCATTTTGGATGCAGTATTGGTTGCCCCATCCATCTGGATTGAAAAGTTATGGTGTAGAGTATGTAGAGTTATGGTATATAAATGTAAAGAATTATTATTATTATTATTATTATTATTATTATTATTATTATTTTTATTTTTATTGTTATATTTCAATTGGTTTTTTCTCAATGAAACATATGTTCTTTTAAAATAATTATTTTAAGTAGAGGTGCTTAAAGTGTCTAAAGGTGCTTAGTTTTTTTATGTCAACCTCTTCCTCTCTCGACTTTCCTCTACTGGAATTCAAGCTCAGCCTTGTGTTTTAATCTTTCTGGTGTCATGTCTAAAACAATTACCACAAAAACCTGAAAGATAAACAGCTTTTTAGTGGGATGAATCCGTAAAAATTTCCAAAGACAGGTGTGCCAAGCTTGTGGCATCATATTCAACAAGACTTGAGTCTGAAATTGCTGCAAAGGTGCATCAACAAAGTATCGAGCAAAGCCTGTGAACACAGATTTACATGTGATTTTTCAACTTTTTTTATTGTGAATGAACTTGCAACAACTTCAAAAACTCTTTTTTTCACATTGTCATTATGGGGAATTGTGTGTAGAATGTTGAGGAAATAAATGAATTTAATTCATTTTGGAATAAGGCTGTAACATAAAAAAAAATGTGGAAAAAGTGAAGCGCTATCAATCCTTTTCGGATGCACTGTAAATCAAAATTAAATCACACAATGGCCACTTACATGATCAGATATGCACACACAGGAAAACAACAGAAGAAACCAGATGCAGCCCTCTGCACAGTTCAGCCACGTGCAGCCAGAATGGACAAACTGTGGGCACAGGTGCCATTAATAAAGCCTTTGAGGCAGTCCTGATTGGCCAGAGATTAAGTGGGCGGAGATTGGAGTGAACCATGAACTGAACAGGAGCTGCGTCCCAAATGGCACACTATACACTATGCACTATGTACTTATGCACTTACACACTCAACAGGATAGTATATGTATGTAGTGTCGTCCCAAATGGCGCACTAGTGTTTTTTTACTAAGTGTAAATTCAAACCGTTTCTCTGATGACGTTTGACGGTTGCGAAATCAGTGAAATAAACGACCGAATTATTAAATAATACCTGCCGTGAGTATTGCACCATCGGGAGGCGCTATAATCGCTCTCAAAGGAGAATTTTGCTTTCACAATCCAAAATAAATAAAGTTATTCAACATGTGCGCCCGATAGCTCCGCCCCTTCCGCTACGTAAGCAAACCTGCGGTCGTTGAGTGCGTGAAGTGTCCATCATTACACACTTCATTTTAGCGGCTGAATGAGTGCATCATCCGGGTAATTAAAGTGCACTTAGTTTTCAGTGTGAATACACTACTTACACTATTTATACTACAAAATGACGTAGAATAGTGCATAAGTATGCGATTTGGGACGCAGCTAGGGTTATGACACTACCTTGAGATTGCAGCTTAGGGACACCAAACTCCTCAACATGTGATCTCCACACAGAAATGCCAACTGAACCAGTATTGGGTTGCGGCTGGAAGGGCATCCACTGCGTAAAACATATGCTGGAATAGTTAGCGGTTCATTCCGCTGTGGAGTCACCTAATAAATAAGGGACTAAACCGAAGGAAAATGAATCTCCACGCCAACATGGGGAGAACATGCAAACCACACAGAAATCCCATCTAGCCTAATCAGGACTCGAACAAGCGACTTTCTTACTGTGAGGCGAGAGTGCTAACCACTGAGCCACTGTTAATAATGTAACAAATTTTGATTTACAGACATTTTTTAACCATAGTCAGATGATGATGGTCTTCAGGTTTCTTCGTTTACGTTAATACCTTCAGTTTTTCTTTGTCATGGTCTCTTTTAGTGCCTCTGATGGGGCTCATTTCTGTGGGGTTGTTTGGAAACAATATGCATTGTGGATAATAAAAGCTGGCTGACATGATTAATACGGTAGGCATCAAAGCCTGCATGCTCTACACAACACTGAGAAAACGTGCGTTTAAAAACCGCCCGTGACTGAATGCGTCCTCATTCTTCCTCTCTTTATCCTGTAATGCAGCGAGGAGGAACCATGTGGAGTCTGCGTGGATGTGGATGCAGGATTTGTGTATGTGAGCGCAGCAGACACGGGCATTTTGTGCAGAACTGGAACAAAACCTTGTTGACGGTCCTGGTGCACGGAGCTGTGAGCCGGTGGAAAGGTTTCCTTTGGGATAGTCGTGCAGAAAGGGAGGGAGCTTCTTTTGTTTCTCCGTTTCAGACAGCATCTGCAGTGTGTCTCCTGGAAAGCCTGCACCTGTTCTTTTTTCTCTCTCCCATAAAATCTCTCTCCAATCCTACGGCAATCTTGCTGATGCAAGCAAAAGAGGCTTTAATGACCCGCACACACCCACGTCTAAATTGTTCAACGCTCTTAAACAGGTACAGGAGTTTGAACGACATGCAAGCAAATACAATAGTTTTAGTTAATACATGCCAGAGGTACACACTCGAAAAAGTTAATGACAAAGCCTATAAGCGTGACAGGACTAAAAGCAAGGCTTATTCTGATTACGTACCCCTGTGTACATTTCTAGAGAGCGCCAAATACGTACCAGGGGGTACTCTTTTTTTTTTGCAGGTTTGTTTTCGCAAATCAGACCGATGTGTACGCTTTTTCAGATCTCAAATTTCTCTCGCGAGGGCCATTCATGCCTGCTGTTCTCTTGTAAATCCACCAGAGACCGATGTCAACTGACTGACTGACTCACCGACCAATCTCCCCATCCACCGCCTTCCCTAAACCCAACCAATAGTGTTTTCAAAAGTAATCCAGAAAAAGAAAAACCCTCGTCTGATTTTTACCACGTTTTCAGATCTCACCACATTCACACCCTGTTAACCTGCTAAAAAATCCAGCTTAAACCAGCCTAGGATGGTTGGCTGGTTTTAGCTGGTCGGCCAGGCTGGTTTTAGAGGGGTTTTGGTCACTTCCAGGCTGGTTTCCAGCCATTTCCAGCATGGTCTTAGCTGGTTAGGCTGGGAGATGACCAGCTAAAACCAGCTTGACCAGCCTAGCCAGGCTGGGAGCCCAGCCAAAACCAGCTATGTCCAGCTTAAACCAAATTGGAAATGGCCAAAACCCCTCTAAAACCAGGCTGGTCAACCAGCTAAAACCAGCCAACCAGCCTAGGCTGGTTTAAGCTGGATTTTTCAGCAGGGTATTTACTTGTTTATTTTATTTTTTGGCTTTTGTTTATCCGCCTCTCAGCAACCGACTCCCATGAGGAAGGTTGCCAGTTCGATACCAGCTCGGAGCGGGTTGGGTGGCCTAGGACCAGCGGGGTTATACGAGATTGCCCACCCCTGGGCTATACCTTCCCACCGCAACCTCGATTTCGCTGTTTAAAATGGCAGCCGCGTGAAATCAGTCTATAGGGTTTTCAGAATGAGCCTATAATAATCCATTAATATGCACCAATGTAGGCTACTATTCACAGCTGAAGTCAAAAAAAATTGCCAAAATTTACAAAAATATATATATGCCTATTGATAAACCAGTTTATATATTTTATTCAATCATAAAATGACTTCCTATATATTTATAATCATATTTATTTTTGATAAAAATTAAATATTTCGATTGAATGAAAGTAGACTAAACTATTACAAGTAAAGACAAACAAAGCAAGTAATATATAGTATTAAAATAAAGATATTTTACCTATAATAAAGCTAGGACTTATAAAATTGGCAATTTGGCTTTAGCGTAATGTGGCAAACGTAACGTAATAGTGGAAAACGTAGCAAACATAGCGTAAAAAACAGCGTAAACAGCTGTAATGCATTTAAAAGAGTTTCAACTTATTTAAACATATCTAATATCAATATCCCTGCTGAAAAATCCAGCTTAAACCAGTTTAGGCTGGTTGGCTGGTTTTAGCTGGTCGACCAGGCTGGTTTTAGAGTGGTTTTGGCAACTTCCAGGCTGGTTTCCAGCAATTTCCAGCCTGGTCTTAGCTGGTCAGGCTGGAAAATGACCAGCCAAATCCAGCTAAAACCAGCTTGACCAGCCTGGTTTTTTGTTTGGTTTTGGCTGGACTCTCAGCTTGGCTGGGCTGGTCAAGCTGGTTTTAGCTGGTCATCTACCAGCCTGACCAGCTAAGACCAGGCTGGAAATGGCTGGAAACCAGCCTGGAAGTGGCCAAAACCCTTCTAAAACCAGCTAAAACCAGCCAACCAGCTTAGGCTGGTTTAAGCTGGATTTTTCAGCAGGGTATTGAGGGGAACAATGTTATTCATCATTCATTCATTTTCTTTTTCGGCTTAATCCCTTTATTGATCTGGGGTCGCCACAGCGGTATGAACCGCTAACTCATCCAGCATATGTTTTACCCTTCCAGCAGCAACTCAACACTGGGAAAGAACGATGTGTTATTGAAAGTTGCCTTTTTATTCATGCTGCCCAAAACAATAAAGGGAACACTTAACACAAAGTAGGTCCAAATGTTCCCTTTATTGTTTAAGCAGCATACTTTTCAATAAGAGATTGAAATGGACACATAATCAATACTCTACAGGTCGAGTCCTGCAGAAACGTCAGTGAATGCGCATTATGACCAGCAGGCGGCAGCAGAGAAACTCTTAAGAAAACAAACACTCTTAAGTTTCTCTTCAGGGTTTTGCGGCTAAAAAACAATGAGGTAAGATTGCTGATATCACACAGAATGTTTGAGTTCAATTAACTCGCGAAAGTACTCTATACTGAAGCATTGTGGTGTTTTGATAAGTGTTTTGTCGCTGTAATAAGGTTATGTAAAGCCGGTTAACTATGTTGTCGTGCTGTATAACTGAACTTTGGCAGCGAGTCATTCATTCGTTACTGAGCGAGCTTTACACGCGCACTTGTCACTGGAAAATCGTCTTTTAATGAGAATATTTTAACAGGTGAATAAATGAATGTGCCATGCCGTTTGTGGAGTTCATCGCAGGATGGATTTCAGGTAACTTTTTGCTTTAGAACCGCCCCACATGAAAAAATACTATAGTAAATACCATGGTGTTTTTATGGTAAAGCAGTTGAATTAATCTGTTGTTGTAATTTTATAGTTGATGTTACAACAACTATTATAAACAAATGTCCAAACGCTGTATTAAATGTACTATAACTAAAACTTGCACTACAACACACCGTAGTTTACTGTAACTAAAGCTACTTAGTGTATCAGTTCACCAGTTAATACTGCAGTATGCTGTAGCATTCATAAACACAATGTTGTAAATGCTATAATATATACAGTACAATAGACTTTACAATAGTATGGTTCAAAACCAGTTTACTGTAAATATGCTAAAAGTTATTAAGTGGCATAGCAGTATCGTGATTTTCTTCCATGAATTGATGTAAAGTTAGCATGTAAATACCATGGTATTTTATAGATCTGAAAACTAGCAATAACATCAAATAACCATAGTACTTTTTTTTGCACATAGCGAAGGGATTTTTATTGTCCTGGACTATAATAAATGATTTACAGTTTCTGAACTATTCTCAACGGGTTAATCATATATATGTGTGTGTATGTGTATGTGTATGTGTATGTGTGTGTGTGTGTGTGTGTGTGTGTGTGTGTGTGTGTGTGTGTGTGTGTGTGTGTGTGTGTTAGGTGCTGTGGGTTTAGTTGTTGGACACCCTTTGGATACAGTAAAGGTAAGTCTCTCTTTGATAATAGATATACACTGACCAGCCACTTTATTATGTACACCTTACTAGTACCGAGTTGGACTAGCTTTTGCTTTCAGAACTGCCTTAATCCTTTGTGGCATAGATTTAACAAGATACTGGAAATATTCCTCAGAGATTTTGCTCCATATTGACATGATAGCATCACGCAGTTGCTGCAGATTTGTCGGCTGCACATCCATGATGCGAATCTCCTGTTTCACCACATCCCAAAGGTGCTCTATTGGATTGGTTTGATGTCTGATGGAAGTAGACATCTGCTGGAAGTAGCTATCAGAAGATAAATACACTGTGGTCATAAAGGGATGGACATGGTCAGCAACAATACTCAGGTAGGCTGTGGTGTTGACACGATGCTCAATTAGTTCTAATGGGCCCAAAGTGTGACAAGAAATTATCCTCCACACCATTACACCACCACCACCAGCCTGAACCGTTGATACAAGGCAGGATGGATTCATGCTTTCACGTTGTTGACGCAAATTCTGACCCGACCATCCGAATGTGGCAGCAGAAATGGAGACTCATCAGAGCAGGCAACGTTTCTCCAATCTTCTATTGTCCAGTTTTGGTGAGCCTGTGTGAATTGTAGCCTCAGTTTCCTGTTCTTAGCTGACAGGAGCGGCACCCGGTGTGGTCTTCTGCTGCTGTAGCCCATCCGCCTCAAGGTTGGAAGTGTTGTGTGCTCCAAGATGCTCTTCTGCAGACCTCGGTTGTAACGAGTGCTTATTTGAGTTACTGTTGCCTTTTTAATCAACTGGAACCAGTCTGGCCATTCTCCTCTGACCTCTGGCATCAACAAGGCATTTGCGCCCACAGAACTGCCGCTCACTGGATATTTTCTCTTTTTCAGACCATTCTCTGTAAACCCTAGAGATGGTTGTGTGTGAAAATCCCAGTAGATCAGCAGTTTCTGAAACACTCAGCCCAGCCGGTGTGGCACCAACAGCCATGCCACGTTCAAAGCCACTTAAATCCCCATTCTGATGCTCAGTTTGAACTGCAGCAGATCGTCTTGACCATGGCTTTTTCTCAATATGCGTTCTTCAGCTGTCTTGCGTCCTCGTGTTCTCGTGTAACGCCATCATCAGCTGCCTAAGATCAGTTCCAATACTCAAGACCGCAAGTACGGAGGACGCGTGAAACTTCCCGGATGTGATCTTGATATCGAGGACGCACCGATGCAGACTTGAGCACCGAACTCGCTCTGGAAGTCCCAGAAGTCATTGCGACTGGAAGTGGGAAGCGCAGCATTTTATTTAGATTTATTATTAAAGTTCAGAGATTTAACTTATTTACCTCAGGAGTTTCCCTAAATGAAACGGTGAAAGTAAACATTACCATGAACATCTTAATAAAGGAATAAACACATTAAGGGTGTTTGTTTGCTGAAATTCGTATTAAAATCTGTTGTATTCATATTGTGCAACTAAGATTTATAATGTTTTTATGCAAAGTACATATTTTGAAAAGGGGAAAAACTATAAATCGTTGTATGAATGCTTTACTGTTTAAATAATTTACCATTTAAAAAACGTGAAGGTCATGTGACCATCAGGATGAACGCAGCATCTCAATTCTCAAAAGACGCGTTCTCTGCTCTCGCGGTCTCCGGAGTTCGTTCTTCCGAGGACACCTGGCAAGACCTGTCTCCACAAGAACACAAGTCCGTTCTCTGCGTTCTTGGAATTGAGAAACAGCCCATGTCTTGAAGCCTAAATGCATTGAGTTGCTGCCATGTGATTGGCTGATTTGTGTCAACGAGCAGTTGGACAGGTGTACCTAATAAAGTGGCCGGCAAGTGTATGTGATTTGATTATTGTCTCATGTAGTTAATGCATTTATTTTGATCATAGGTGCGCTTGCAGACCCAGTCTGTGTACGGAGGGATACTCGACTGTGTGATCAAAACGTACACACGTGAAGGAGTAAGTCTTCAAATGCAACATGGTGCAATTAGACACAAAATCTACACGTATTTTTTTTTTTAGACATTTTGTCATTGACATATACACACACAGTACACAATTCACTTCTGACCTGCATAAACTACACTACTTTATTTCAATATTGGTCATTATGGTGGTACTTGGAAAGACAATTTTTTTCTGAGGGGGTACTTGGTGAAAAAACTTTGAGTACCACTGGTTTACCAGATTCAGGAATTTTTCACAGTATTTCCTATAATATTTTTTCTTCTGGAGAAAGTCTGATTTGCTTTATTTCGGCTAGAATGAAAGCAGCTATTAATTTTTTAGCAATATATAATTTAATAATTGTCATACGATGATTTAGCTAACTGCTCTAACTTGCCTAAATAACCTAGTTAAAGGGCCATGAATCCCCCTCGTTTCAGCAGGGTGTTTTCACACCTCTACTTTGGAAAAAGTCAGAAAAGTGGGCGTGTCCAGCTCTGTTTAGGGGGAGTGTCGGAGGAAGAAAAGAGGCTTGGTGTGGGAGTGTCTATTTGGGCGCGCTGAGTTTCAGAGTCAAAACACACACACACACACACACAGGGGGCAAAGTGTGTTTACATGGAGATCTGTAGTCGAATTATTTGCCAAATTATTAAATGGTGGACTTTAACTGCAGTTTGGCTCTTTGATTCAGTGAATTCATTCATGTCCCTCGCGACAAACAAGATATTTGATTGGAGGAACTGCTCTAAGCGTGTATTTTTCATGCAATGTTTGATACCGCACGGCAAATGAGAGAAAAAAACCCTCAGCATTTCCCGGAAACTTAGATGCACACGGCAGGTAGTGTCAGAAAGCCGCGTGTGTTATTCCGGTCACTAAATGCGGTGAAATTCCTACACGAGGTTAAAGTTTGGTTGTGGTGCTAACATGTTTACACTCGGTGCAATAGTTAACTTAGTTCGATACGAACAAACTGAATAAACAAAGAGCACTGGTCGCTCACTTACCAAATCTGTAGAGACAGGACAATCACCAGCAACTAGAGCCACGTCTTTATTAAGAGAAGACTACAAGCGAATCCGGATCTCAGCGTTTGCAGATGAGAACAGCTCTCAGGTAAACAATAATCCTCCTTAGACTTGTAAGTTATTATATCGAGCGTCGCGTACACTGTTAATCCACACGTGACTCCAGCTGAGCTCTCACAGAGAGAAAATGAAAACAAAACTTCACTGCAGCAAACTATAAAAGCAACACTTCACGCTTGTTTTGCCAACACAACGTGGCGTCTCTGTCGTCTAAACACTGTGACAGTAATGAATATTAATGAAGCTGCACAATAGAGCGCGCTGATTGGTTTGAACCAAGCTTTACTCATGCATTAATGCATCACACTGTAAGACGTAATAAGACACACTCTGGCACAGGCGTCCAGTCTGCACGCTGGAATAAACGCTATTATGTCATGATCGTGACGCAGCTTCAAAAATTAGTTTCAAACCGGAAGTACGAATTTGCTTGAAATAACGCAAAAACAACCAATTTACAGTTTTTAGTGAAATATAGGTGTCCTAATAGTGTTTTTAGCAGTGTGGGACACATATACGACTGTCAACAGCTCAACACATGTGTTTTGGTGTTTCGTGACCCTTTAAATATCACTTTAATCTGAATGCTAGTATCTTGAAAAATATCTAGTCAAATATGAAGTGCTGTCATCATGGCAAAGATAACATATCTCAGTTATTAATGGATTATTAAAACTATAATGTTTAGAAATGTGTTGAAAAAATCTTCTCTATTCTCCAGTTGCATGGCTTTTTTAAGGGCATGTCCTTTCCTGTGCTTTCGGTTGCCGTCAGCAATGCTGTGGCATTCGGATCCTACAGTAACGCCCTGGATTACCTGACCCAGTCCCACCACAACGACCACAGCCAGCGCTCTCCGCTCTCTTACGTCTTCATGGCCGGCTGTTTCTCAGGTCTAGCACAGGTACGTCTTCGAGTCAGGACTGCAAAACTGCCAAAACACTTTGCATGTTGCTAACCGGTGCTGTTTTGCAGTTATTCGTAACCGCTCCGATAGACCTGGTTAAAGTGCGTCTGCAGAACCAGACCAGAAGCAGATCGGCTGGGAACAAATACAGAGGGCCATTACACTGCGTCGCTGTGATCGTCAGAGAGGACGGGCTGAAAGGGCTATTTAGGGGATTCTGGGCTCTTGCTCTTCGAGACGTGCCTTGTTATGGACTTTACTTCCTGCCATACGAGTTCACCTTAAGGATGATGACAGAAAAAGGGAAGCAGCCAGGTGAGCAGACTTCATGGGAGATCTTCATAGGCAAAACAAGATTTGTTCTGACTTTTCGCCAGTCTTTAAGTAGGCTTTAAGCTTTAAGTAGGAAAAACTCATTTTTGAGTAAGATGCTAACGGACTAATCTAATTCAATGATCTATGCTAAGCTAAGCTAAAAGTGCTTCCGCCAGATCTGGAGAGCAACTAAATGAATTTGGAAATGCTAAAACTCATCTCTTTAATGCCTAGTTCAGACTGCGTGATTTTAGCCCCGATTTTGGCTCGCCGACAGGTTTTGAGAAATCGCCGACAAATGCCTGAAATCACAGGCAAATCGCTGCTCGTGCATGTGAGTGACAATCACACAGTGTGAACTATCAAAGACGCGTTCTGAGAGAATCGCCGATGAGTCGCCGATGCCTGTGAGATATTTGGCGTGCTAAATATCTGGAGCTGTCGGCGATTCAAATCATGCTGTGTGAATTGAGTTTTGACTGAAAATAACATCAGCGATCGCCTACAGCCAATGAGAGAGCGGCATTCACTTGCGTGTGCGTGTGTGTATACCTGCTGCAGGTCAGCGGGAGGCTGGGGGAGAAGTTAAAAGCGCTCATTTTCGGTTTATTTGGACCCACGAAATGGAGGAAAAACTAGTGGAGGTTTGACAGGACTCAGGAGCAACCGTGTCTGTTTGACGTTTCATACAGAATGAAATTAGTTTATTATCAACGTTGAGGAGAAATGGCTAATTCTCTTTAAACCCAGGTGAGCAAATATGTACATGTTCTACCCCATTAAAGGCTTCTTTCTCATTATGTAGTTAATACCAAAAGATATACGACGTGTTTTTGGCTGTGAGACGTAGTTTGGACGAAGTTGTCGGCGATTCTCCCTATAGTAAAGTCATGCAATGTGAAAGTCCCTATCGCCGATCCATCTTGCAGTGTAAACAAAGCAGCGACGAAACGCTAGCCTAGATAGTCAAGCAGTGTGAAAACACCTGTGACACGACTAGTTTGAAAATCATGCAGTCTGAACTCGGCATAACTGTTTGATCAAAAGTTTTCACCCCTTACATCACAGGTGTCAAATGCAGATCCTGGAGAGCCACAACTCTGCAGTTTAGTTCCAACCCTGCTCCAACACCCTCACCTGTAGGTTTCAGACAAAACTCCAGGACTTATTGCGATTGATCAGGTGTGTTCAATTAGGGTTGGAACTAAACTGTGCAGAGCTGCGACCCTCCAGGAACTGGATTTGACACCTGTGATCCAAGGGGTGAAAACTTTTGAACAAAACAGTTAAAGAGATGAGTTTTAGCATTTCCTAATTCATTTAGTTGCTCTCCAGGTCTGGCGGGAGCACTTTTAGCTTAGCTTAGCATAGATCATTGAATTAGATTAGTCCGTTAGCATCTTACCCAAAAATTAGTTTTTCCTACTTGAAGCTTCTGTCGTTATGCTGTGACTGGCGGAAAATGATAAGTTGCTTTTTTCTAGGCTGATATGGCTAGAGGAACTGTACTTTCACTCTTTTGCTGCTGTACCATGGCTGCAGTAGGCACAATTATATTGCACAGTACTGTTACCTAGCTATTTTCAGGCTCTTTGATATATCATTGCAGCCACGGTACAGCAGCATGGTAACTACAAAAGAGTCTGCTTTTTTTTTTTTTTGGAGTGAAATGCTAATGGTCTAATCTAATTCAATGATCTGTGCTAAGCTAAAACCTTGACTCTTCTGTTGTTGTGTACTAAGACTGACAGAAAATTAAAGTTGTATACTTTCATTCTGGCATAATAAGAAAGTTTGAAATAATAAGGAACTTTGCTGTCGTATCATGGCTTCTGCAGTGCAACGATATTACACAGTGCTTGAAAATAGCCCCCAGCTGGTGTGTAACATCACTGCTCCTTCTACAGCAACAAAGTTCCCTGATTATTATGCCAGAATGAGTGTATAGCTAGCTCCCAGCCATATCAGCCTAAAAAATAGCAACTTTTCATCAGTTTTGCTAACTTATATTCATATTTAGTGACCTTTTAGACACCCAAAAAAGCGACTAGCGACAAATCTAGCGACTTTTTTTTTTTGTGTGTGTTACTGGAGATTTTTTATAGATTTTATCTGTATGTACTGTACCGTTCCTAATCTTCTCTTTTAGCATGGAAATTATGTTTCATTCACAATTTCTCCCCGCACAAAGTGAAGCTATTGAACAACGAAAGCATCATAGTAAAGTTTTCTCATGACAAATATAACAGAATTTATAGGCAATTTATTTATTTTATTGGGTAAATATTAAATTCACAAATGTAAATTTTGCAGAAATCTTCTTTGTAAATATTATTTAATTTGATAATTTGCCTCTGTACTTTATTCTGTATTTTATTTTATTATTATTATTATTAATTTTACTTGTTTATTATTGTATTTGATGACATCCATTGTTATGGTTAATATATCTGTATTGTTAAAACACAATTTAAAAAATAAATAAATAAATAAAAAAAGGATGACACCAAAAAAATGCAATCAACAACATTTAGCGACTTAGCGCTTTTTTATTGAAAATAGTTGGCAACACTGCTTTTCATTTTCTATTAGTCCACAAATGCAACTACAGAAGAGTTATCAAATTTTTTTTTATTATTGTTATCTGGGACAGATGCTAATGGTCTACTCTCATATCTTTAACATGCTCCCATCAGACCTGAAGATCGACTGATTGGATTCAATAATAGTAAAACTCACCTGTTTACTCTTGCTTTTTCCATAGACTGTAAAATATATGGACGTAGTATCCGTGATGTCACCCATAGGTTTCTAAAGAGCGCAAAAGAAGCCACAAGTAGGCGCGGCCAACCGTCGCCATTTTGTTCGTGCGTCATCACACCCACGGCGGGATACCAAACAAGGGCAAAGAGGCGGAGAGTGAGCGGAGCTACAGACACCTGCTGGCATTTAGCTTGGACCTGGTTCAGACACACTTTACTTTGGGAGAAACGCTTAATACTTTATCACCTGTGACTCGTTTGTATTCTGACCACTTGTGCTTGGTTGTACACTATATCAATAAAGAGTTTAGACTTTTAAAAACACTGCTGTAACACATTGAGCCACTAAACATTGTTCTTATGACGTTTTTCAACAGGAGGAAAACGCGAATTACTTCCAAACTCTTCAGATATAGTCTGTGTTAGTTAATGTAAGACTATTGATGAAATCCAGCATAACACTGTATGACAACGCTTCAGATGACTGTTCTAGAGCTCACAGCTAATCAATCTGACAGATTCTGAAGTGCATTACAGCTCTAAATATAAATAAAAACGATAAATGATCTTAAATAAAACAAATACATGTATAGAGATGGTATATAAGTATATAACTTTACTCACATGGGAAACGGAGGCCACGTGAATGTTTTGTGAGCACAATTAAGTGCACTTAGCATGCCATGCCATCTAATAATTGTAGGAAACAAGTCCAAAAGGCAGTTGACTGTGTAAAGCCACAGAAAACAACACAGAAATACGATAAATATGCCGAGTTCAGTGGCTAATTTGCAGGATTCAGCTGAGGTGATGTGACGGCGACCAACGAGACCTAGCTGTCAATCAAGTGGCCACGCCCTTAATTATGCAAACTTAATATAAAGGAAACGGATGAGTTATAAAAATATTCACCCCCCTCACAGTTGTCATAAAGGGTGATATTACCTGTATTAACCAAAATCTTTTTTTGTAGCAGGCTGTAAACACCTTTTTTTCTGCTGTAAAGTTGTTCATTCTAACAGTGGGCTCAATTGAAATTTGCTCTATTTTGGAGCCAGGAGCGGCTAAGACTAGCGGCATTTCGGATGAGTTGCAGTTTTAGTTACTTCCGTATTGGCTTCCTGAGGGAGAGCGGGAGGATGCCGCTTGGCTTTTTCCCCTAAAAAGTGAGTGTTCCTTTAAAAGTTCTGATCTTTCTCTAATATCACCCACAGGTCACTGTGCTGTGCTGGCGGCCGGCGGTGTTGCTGGTGTGATCACGTGGGCCTGCGCGACCCCTATGGACGTAGTGAAAGCTCGACTGCAGATGTCCGGCGGTGGCGGTCGGGTCTACAGCGGCGTGCTGAACTGCATTACTGTGAGTGTTCGTGAGGAGGGCATACGCGTCTTCTTCAAAGGTCTTCTCCTCAACAGCGTGAGAGCTTTCCCCGTCAATGCCGTGACCTTCCTCAGCTACGAGATGATTCTGAGAGCCTGTGTGGACTGAGCACTGCAGGGCTGGTGGCATCTTGAAGACCAAAACATCGGTGGGGTATTTGAGTTTTTGATCAAATGCCTGAAATTAGGTTTATGCATCATTAGCGATGTTTCCATCCACCTATTTTAATGCACATTTTGGACACGCGTATGAAAAAATGGTTGATGGAAAATGCACATAAACAACATATACACCAGACATAAGGTTGGCTAGGACCAACACACACTCACGTTCATGTCATCGTTAGTAAATCCCAACGTGAGCGTGAAATCTGGCGTACACAACGTTTTTGTGCGTACGCATCGTTGATACATGGGGCCCTAGGTGTAAACAGCCCCTTCAAGATGCATGGAGCAAGTTTTTGAGCAATGTTGCATGGCTTTCTTCTAGAGCTGCACAATTCTGGCTAAAATGAGAATCGCGATTTTTTTATTTATTTATTTTATTTTATTATTTTTTTGCTCAAAATAAAGATCACGATTTTCGCACGATTCTGTAGATATAAAATGAAGGTATGGTAAAAACAAACATATGGCACAACATCAATAATAATATTATGAGAAGGTCCACTGGTTTTTATAAGTAATTCTATTTTACTTATAATAATTCTGATGTTGAATTATTATGTTTGAGATATACGCTTGCAATCTGTCATATTAGACAAATTTATTCACTGGTAAAATCAGACATTTGCCATTATCAGATTATATTCAACAATATATAGGCTAGAGTAGTTATACCAGTGGCGTAGCGGACGGGCCCGCAGGGGGGCCCCGCGTGATTAGGGGGCCCCGCGTCGTCGTGATTTTCAATAAACTGTTGGGAACAACTGTGGTCGGAACCAAAGTTCACAGGTCTGTGTTCTCTGAACACCTCTCAAGCGGTGGACTACTTCATTCTGATTGCTTGCCGCCAATGTTGCCAACTTAGCGATTTTTTTCACTAGATTTAGCGACTTTTCAGACCCCCCTAGCGACAAATCTAGCGACTTTTTTTGTGTGTTATTGGAGATTGTTTTTAGACTGTCATTTGTCCATACTGTACCGTCCCTACTCTTCTCAACGAGCTGCGTGTGATGCCGCCGGCCCCTCCCCCGCCTCACAGCACTGACAGGCGGCCCAGTACAGCAGCCCAGTACAGCAGCCTCTCCCACCTGCAGCCCGAGAGCAGATCACCCCTCTGTGTACCGACGACAAATGATTTAGCACAGGCAGTGTGAAGGTATTTCCCTTGTACAGTCTAACCGATCTACTTCTACTTTATTTTAACAATTTATTTGGACCGTTTATTCTTTTCTTGCTCACAATCACAGATATTTTAGTGACAGTTTCTGAACTTGTCTGAGTTTAATACATATGAGAGATTACTGCACATTCACTACACATCTATAATGACATACTGTATTCAAACAGCAATAAATTTAGTTAAATAAACATGCTTATATAAAGTGTAGTGCAATTATAAATACCCCTTTATTAACCATAGGCTGTTAAACAGAAACGGTAGAACGTGATGACGTCAGTGATATGCAAATTGACGTATGACGTATCCCCCCCCCCCTTCATCAGGGGGCCCCGTCAGTGATCCCTGCAGGGGGGCCTCCGCATTTTTATAGTTAGAGTTATACTGACACTGTAAACATTTATTTTCATGCACAACTGAGGGTTCGCCATGAAAAAAAAACATCAAATGCTTGCCGTAATCATAACTCTAAAATGCGATATGATCATTTAAATGAAGTGCACACTTTCGGTTTCATTATGACTGCTAAGTTCTTGTTCATACTTCGCGCGTGGCTCCCAAACGATCACTCTGTGCCACAAACTGAATATTATTTACAACTGTATTACCTGTTACTCGCAACATATGCAGGTTCTGTTCACTAAAGTAGGCGCACGCGCATCTATCATTAAGTAGAGTGCGCGCGCCCTCTCTGTGATAACAGCTCATGGTCAGCAGCTCGTCACGTGTGATTTCCCGGCCGCGAAAACATCATTATATTAAGACAAAAATGACATTTTTAGGTGAATTACACCTTATAAATACATTATGTGACTCATTCAACATCATTTGGAGGTGTCAATGTCGCTGAGCAACGTATGTGAAAAGACTCGTGCAGCCGCATTTGCTTCTCTCCTGAACTTGAACATATGATTGACAGAATTGTACAAATGCTAGATTAAGATCGTCTAGACCAGGGGTCTCAAACTCAATTTACCTGGGGGCCCAGGAGGCAAAGTCTGGGCCGCATAAGGGATTTCACACAAAAAAAGTCCTCAAATGTCATTATTAACAGTTTTAATTATTTCTTCTGAACATGAAGTGTCCTGAACAATAATAAACATTGAGTGAAGATTATGAACAGTTCTTCTGAACATGGCATCTTTTGCCTACTTCTTACTGCCAGAGACTTGACAGCGCTTCTTCTCACAAATCTGAACCACATTTGGCTTTAGAGCGGAAGCAGTTGAGACCCTCAGTATGGCTTGAAGATGATCATCATTAAGTCTAGACCTGTCTAGACTCACTCAAAACTTCCATTCCCTCACCTAAAAAAAAGGCGTATATATGTATAAATAAAACACCCCCACCCCACTCCAGTCACGTCAGTCTGTACCAGTCTGTATCTACCTATAATATATATAAGATGCAGGCTGTAGCTAGGTAGGTGGCAGGCTGCAGATAGGTAGCTAAGTGGCAGGCAGGGGCGGGAACAGCTTACCTTGGTTCTGGCCGGCGCGAGTTCCCTCCTAAAGCCTGGTTTATACTTCTGCGTCAAGTGACCGGCGCAACTCACGGCGCAGGCAACGCGCGTGGCTGTGCATTTATACTTCTGCGCGCTGTCTCCGTTGGTCTGCATTAACACTTCCGAAACGCTAGTGGGCAGTGAGGTGTAAATGTTCCTCTGTGTCGAGTCTCTTCGCTGCTGTTTTGCTTTTCCTGAACACTTCCTGGATGTACAAGTGACTCAAACTCGCTCATTTTGAGGCAGGAACCGGCGGACGTGCAACAACTTTAACCATGAGGTAAACACAGAGCAAAACTTTCCATCTGGAGCTCCTTCACGGGACTCCACACTTGTAAACAATCGCTCGCGCCATTCGCGCGGCTCTCGGTCCCGCCCAGACTCGTCGACGCTAGCAAGCCGACCAATCACAGAGCTTGCACTACGCGTTGTTGCGACGTGTAGTTACAATTTTTGAGAGGTGCACGTCAGTGACGGCGATGGCCACGGCGAAGGGCTATGCGTCAGCGCCGTAGCCTACGCCGGTGTTTGACGCAGAAGTATAAATCAGCCTTTAACACTTCCCGCCCGTCACAGCGTCTAACAAAGGGGCGGGGTGCGTGGTGACGTCACCGGCATCCCCGCCCCTTTGTTTAACCGGCGGGCGGGGAATGCCAGTGACCGCTGTGTACGGATAGAATCAGCGGAGCTGGGAGCGCTCTCTCTCCCCGCTCCGCTGATTTTGTCAGTGTATAGCGGTCGGCGTGGGCCACAAAATATTGTACTGAGGGCCGCAAATGGCCCGCGGGCCGCGAGTTTGAGACCCCTGGTCTAGAGGGTCGAATCGAGATCGCGATCTTTAAACGATTAATTGTGCAGCTCTACTTTCTTCCTATTGAAAATGACGGCAGCATTGCTTTAAAAGTTGTTTGACGTATCCTCACCTTCACTCATCACTGCAGCGCTCTATTAGAGCCACAAAATAAGCTATCGACTTCATAACATCCCAATAACTTGAATCTCTTTGTACTGTTGACTGATTCATTCAGCATATCTTCAGGTTACACCATTCACATGAAGCTAGTGAGCAGTAATGTCATGTTGTTGTTGCTAATGTTAGTTACATTTACACAGCACTTTAACATCCAATCATTCCAGTAGGATTTTAAGGGGGATAGTTCACCCAAAAATTAAAATATGCATCATTTACTCATCTTCCACTCGCTTTACCCTGCTTAAATGTCATTTTCCTGCTGAACAAAACAAAAGGTAAGATATTTATAAGAATGCTGGGAAAAAAAAACACTCATCGACTTCCATTTATATTGACACACCTTAATAAAATGGGAATGGTTGTTGCTGGAGCGGATACGTTTGCGGCCGGAAGTTAACGAGAAATATTTCTATTATTTATTAAATTTCTCATTTGTTGTATTTTATTAACGTCTACCCCCACCCCAACCCTAAACCCAACCGTCACAGTAACGTAAAAACTGTAGTTGTACCGAGTTTTAGTTATGTTATCTATTAAATTACCCAATAAAATGTATTTTTTTAGGGCCTACCCCCAACCCAACCATCATAGTACTTTAAAAATATTAATTATTGTTATACAGTGTCATTAAAAAAATGCTGCTTTATTAATGTGTATATCACACTTCCGGCCGGCCGCATATCCGATCTACACTTTACCATTTGGAATGGTTGCGGATATTAACATCCTGTTTATGGCACATTAGTATATGTGAGGGGGCAAACTTTTGGCCATTTTGAAGTCGGCCATCTTGCATCCAACTTTTTTTTTTTTTTCAATAGGAAGACTGTCATGTGACACATCAAACTTATTGGGAATTTCCCAAGAAAAGCAATGGTGTGCTTGGTTTTAACGTTGCTTTATTCTTTCATGAGTTATTTACAAGTTTCTGACCACTTATAAAATGTGTTCAGTGTGCTGCCCATTGTGTTGGATTGTCAATGCAACCCTCTTCCCCTGCTCTTCACACACTGATAGCAACACCGCAGGAGAAATGCCAGCACAGGCTTCCAGTATCCAGTTTCAGGTGCTGCACATCTTGTATCTTCACACCATAGACAACTGCCTTCAGATGACCCCAAAGATAAAAGTCTAAGGGGGTCTTATCGGGAGACCTTGGGGGCCATTCAACTGGCCAACGACGACCAGTTCACTTTTCAGGAAGCTGTTCATCTAGGAATGCTCGAACCTGACACCCATAATGTGGAGGTGCACCATCTTGCTGGAAAAACTCAGGGAGCGTGCCAGCTTCAGTGCATAAAGAGGGAAACACATCATCATGTAGCAATTTCAATATCCAGCGGCCTTGAGGTTTCCATTGATGAAGGATGGCCTCACTATCTTTGTTGTCTATGGTGTGAAGATACAAGATGTGCAGCACCTGAAACTACTTGTCTACTGTATTTATTCTTCCCATTGATTATTGTAATCATGCTTATTAAAATGAGCATTTATAAGCCAATATATCAGTTATCAGCTACCAGAAATAAAGAGTTGTCACTTTAGCATATATCTAAAATTTGTATATGGATGAAATTAAAGATATAGATTGTACAGTATTAAGCATGATATAATACAATGATGCGTGTTGTAGTGTGTTTGACTCATTTATTGAGAGTTTTGTGTTGTTATATGATGCTATAAGATATACTGATTATTCGACATTTTGAGCCATTAAAGGCAATTTTAGGTAATAAATATCATTTAATATACTGTAGTTGATCGGTTACTGGGCAACGCAGTGGCGCAGTAGGTAGTGCTGTCGCCTTACAGCAAGAAGGTCGCTGGTTTGAGCCTTAGCTGGGTCAGTTGGCGTTTCTGTGTGGAGTTTGCATGTTCTCCCTGCGTTCGCGTGGGTTTCCTCTGGGTGCTCTGGTTTCCCCCACAGTCTAAAGACATGCGGTGAATTGGGAAGGCTAAATTGTCCGTAGTGTTTGAGTGTGAGTGTGTATGGATGTTTCCCAGAAATGGTTACAGCTGGAAGGGCATTCGCTGCATAAAACATATGCTGGATAAGTTGGCGGTTCATTCCGCTGTGGCGACCCCGGTTTAATAAAGGGACTAAGCCAAAAAGAATATGAATGAATAATCAGTTACCTAACATCAGAATTCTGCTGATGTTCTGGGTTGTTCATCGTTTAACAGGATTGATAAATCAACACATTTCTCTTCATATTTTCTTATATGTTTTAGATCTATTAAGTCAAATCTAAAAAAATAAAAGTCAGCGACGTTTGTTCCATCCGGTCTTTATTTCCAAAATCGTCAGGCATTCATTACAACATCTCATCTTCTTCATCTTCACATTGCAGACTTCAGTTTTCTCTTTTCGTTAAAGATACTCCAGCCAGAATCCTTTCGTTTAAAGAGATAATTCACCCAAAAATCTCCTAATTTCCTCACGCCCAGATGCTTGTAAACATTTATGAATTGCTCTCTTCTGTTGAACACAAAACAAGATATTCTGAAGAATGTTGGGGGAAAGGTAGCAATTGACATCAATAGTGAGAACAAAAAAAAATAACTCTAAGTGGTTTTCCCAAAAATTCATTCAGGTTTTGGGGTCAAAAAGTTTGAAAAGTGATTTTTATTGACAATTTTAACAGTGTGTAGTGATATATTGTCTGGGTTTGAGTGATACAAAATTCAGGTAACACACTGCCAAAACTTACTCTCTTATTTTACAGACTTATTTCAATATATATTATTATTTCTTATACAATATCTCATTCAAATGACATCAATGGTTAAAACAAAATAACAGTCAGTAAATAGCTGCTTTTCCCAACATTCATTCAGGTTTGAAACACACAGAGGATGAGTAAATGACTACAGGATTTTCACTTACTGGGTGAACTGTCCCTTTAAATCTGCTTGGTGTTCAAGTAAATCAGCCAATTTGATATGTAAGAGTCCCGGGCTGTTTTTTTAGGAGTTTGTTTTGTGGTTTCTACTTCTACCAGAGCCTGTTTCTGACCCCAACTATTGTTCAAACTCTAAATACTTTATCGGTGGCTTATGTGCTCTAACAAGCAAGGGCACGTAATAGAACATACGCCTGATAATACTCTCTGAAATGCTACTCATGTAAAAAACTGCTCATTTACTTCTCAGTTGGATTGTTTTTAAGAAGCTTGTAGTGCAAGAATCCACCCCAAATGGGAATTTGCTATTAAGTTTGATGATGTCAGTGAATAAATTGCTCATTTGGATGGGTGGAAACCCATTTTTGGACCAGAACAGCCCAGTGTCCCATCACTATTGGCCTATACTAGACAAAAGCTGCGATTGGTTAGTGATTAGTAGGCCCACGTGGAATCTAGCCCATCATTGATTCTGTTTACTTACTTGTGTAAATGTGTGTAAATTTATATTTATTCAGATAATTAATTAATTACAGTAATATTATCAAATAATATGAAAATATTTAAAGTATTTATTTACTACAGTTTACTTTGATATAGCTTGTAAAGTACTATTTTCTGTCTTTTAGTAGAGATATCATATGAGAGACTTGCTTTGTTTACCAAATAAAGTGGATCTAATTGGGTTTGCATTGTAAACATTGAAGTTTAAAGGGTGTCACTTATTATTTCATATATTAAGGTTTTAGTTATGATACTTCCAAAATTATCCCACAAAAATCCGCAGATTTTTAACTAAATTCTGCACAGAAATAGCAGAAAAATGTCCACAGATTCCGTCTGGCCCTACTCATCGCTTCAGACTTTGGAGGGAAATCTGAACAAGGCAGGTAATATTAGAAGATTTAGGTATTGCTGATTCCTCACACACGCACACACGCACGCACACACACACAAAAAGCAATCCCAATTAAAGAGTTTCCCATATTTTGTAATTCATGTATTTTCTTCATTTATTTATCCTCTTGAATTGCATTTTTGAGACCACAAACAGCTTTTGATGTTGAAAAGTGACTTCTATTGACATTTGTAACGGTTTAAAGTCATATATATTCTGTATTGGAGTTGTAAATTACTGTAAAAACCCAGTACTTTTAGGAGAAGTCTGTAAAATATCTAAAAAAGGTACTAGATTTTTATATATGAAGAGTTTACATGCAAAAACCTCTAAGTGCCGTCTGAAATTTCCATCGAAAATGAAAATTTTTCTCAGCCTCCTTTGTTTTCTGTTAAGATATTTTACTTTAAAGACCAGGAAAAGGACTTATTCTTTGCCATAAAAGTGATAATACTGAACATACACATAGAAGGCCGATAAAATGCTCATTTTAGAGAAAAATTTCAGATGGCATATAGAGGTTTTAGCATCTAAGCTCTTCATTATATATATATATATATATGTATATCTTATGCAATATATGGTTTCAAAACACTAAAATGTCAATAAAAGTCTTTTATTTTTCACACAGAGTTGATTTTTTTAACATCAAAAGTCGACTCAGCAAAATCCCATAAAGCAAATCACAACAGTAAATAACAAAATAAGGAAACTGTTCATTAGTGTGACCTCAATAAATAAGGCCTGGACGTCTTGTGGAAGTTTTGAACTATTCATAATTTTGCCCCAATTTAAACACTTGCCAAGTGAAAAAAGGAAAAACAAATGATTTTTTTTTGTTTGTTTTGCCAAAATAATCAGAGCCGAGAAAAAAAAAAAAAAAGCAAAATACTAACAAAAAAACCTAACTCAAATGCTCTAATCAATAACCTCTATATTATTATTATTTCCATTTTAACCTTCAACCCAATTATAAAACTGCTAATTGAAACCCCTTTCTGGTCTCGTTTGTTCAATCAAACTCGATTAGTCTGAATTCATACTGATCTCATCATCTTAAACACATCAGATCTGGTCCCGTTCTCTGTTTGTGTGTTCTTTAAGTGCTGCATTTCCTCCTGCTGCATGTTAAGATTGTGTTTTACCGCAAAACAACAGTCCAGTCTGCCGCTGCGCTGACCGATGGCTTACGGACAGTCAACACTGCAGGATTAGAGGAGAACTCAAACTCTAAAGCCGACTCCACACCATCTGGAAAACAAAACAAACAATAATAATTAGGCTAATCGTTAATCTTTTTTAACATTTTAATAATTGGATAAAAGGATGACACCGTGGCTCAGCGGTTAACACTGTGGCCTCGCAGCAAGAAGGTCTCTGGTTCAAGTAAATGAGTGTGTATGGGTGTTTCCCAGTGTTAGGTTACGGCTGGAAGGGCATCTGCTGTGTAATTCATATGCTGAATAAGTTAGTGGTTCATTCTGCTGTGGCCACGCCGGATTAATAAAGGGACTAAGCCGAAAAGAAAATGAATGAAAATGATTTAAGACCTACAACACCATATTTAAGTGATTTTAAGACCCCAGAGACCCTAATGGCTCTGTATATATTTTTATATGAGCAAAGTGAAACAGACCTGCATTGATCAGTGAAACTGAGGACGGTCGACTGCCTCCAATGACCACAATCCTCTCTATCCAAGACTCGGTGGAAAACTGAGCATCAGGAGCCAGATTTCTGATGAACCAAGCAAGAGACAAGATAAAAAGATGAGTAAAAGAATGAGGATGGGTGCCATTTTGTAGCCTTCGCTTAGAAATACAATGCATTGTGGTAAATTTAGGGGAGGATCAATATTTATCGTCTACAACAGGGGTTTCCAAACTTTTCAGCCTGCGACCCCCATAATAACAATGCCAGTGACTCGCGACCCCCAATATCTTCTGAGGTGGTTATAAATACAGAAACCTTGCTTTGGTGCACACACACACACACCAATAGACCCACACCTATTCTTTGTTGATTTTTTCTTTATGTATGTCAGTGCTGTAAATGTGCCAGAAAGTTTAACCTGGTGCTATAAAATCAATCCGCTGCATCTGACGCTATTGCTGTGTCTTTAATATAATGTAATTACCCCAGGCGTCACAATCCAATAGAACTAGTAACTATGAGCTACTATAGGAACTATATACAGTAGTATTAGGGGTGTCACGATTTCGATTTTTGATCGAAATTTATGCTCAATTTCGATTATCGAATCAAAAAATAGAATCGTCGATGCTGCCACGCCCCCATGTCACGTCAGCTTGGCTTGCCAAGCGGGAAAAAACAGGCTTGTTGAAGTGCTTGTTAAACTGCAGACACTGGAGACCCGTCGACAGAACTTAAACCCTCTCCTCTTTCAATGAAGTCGCCGGTGTGGAAGCATTTTGGATTTCCAGTGAGTTATGTTGACAACGTTCGTGTTGTCAACAAAAAAAACACAGTTTTGCAAGCTCTGCTATGTACGTATTAGGGTTCGTCCGATAGACAACACCGGCATCGCAATCCTCCGCCCGCCCCCGTTGCTAATCCGCTCGCGAAAAGTACACACTCAGGCCCTGTTTACACTGTCTTTGTTTTTAAATGGCATTTTAGAACGACAACGATTTGACATCCACAGTGGCGTGTAGCATTTCTGAGCAGCCCTCCTTCCTCTCTACCTCTGACACACACACACACACAGACGCACACACACAGCCATGCGCTCGAGACAGCAGGTCCAGGCAGTCAGAGGACTGCTTCAATCTTTCACTCACTTGTACTTAGTCATTTTAGCGAACACCTCAGATACTGTTGGCTGGTTCCTGTTGGTTGTGCGTCTTTTTTTACCGACGCCATTATAACGACACAGATCACTGCCTATTCACGAGTCCCACAGAAAAAGTGATTGACAGGTGGTAATTATGTGTGTATCTTGCCTTTATTCATTTACAGTATGATTTGTTTATGGGTAAAACAAAGACCATGCAGGTCAGGTAGTTTAAACGGTAGGCTACAAATAATTAATTGGTCATTAATTAATTAATTATTCATAATCGAAAATCGAATCGTGCCTTTAGAATCGAAAATGTAATCGAATCGAGGATTTGGAGGATCGTGACACCATTAGTAGTATAAAGTAAGTATAAATGGCTATTTTATTCTCTTCAGTAGGTTATGGATAAAATATGGTAATTCTTATGGTTTAATAAAAATAAATCGATTTTTGGAAATCGCCAGGCGACCCCCCCTTCATTGTCCCCTTCAGTGAGAACCACTGCTCTAGAATAATTTTACACACACACACAAAATCCAGAATTACAGGTACATAATAATAATAATAATATGGTTAATAATATTGACCTTAAAATAGCTTTTAAAAATTGAAAAAAATGTTTTTATTGTAGCTGAAATAAAACAAAAAAGACTTTCTCCAGAAGAAAAAATATTATAGGAAATACTGAGAGAAATTCCTGAATCTGTTTAACATCGGACTAATGTTGTGGACCAACCTGGAGGTCAGGCTGTTGTTAGAGAAGGACAGACGTCTGTGGATAAACTGCTTGGATTTCTGATAGTTAAAGGTGTGGAAGTCATCGATGTACAGCTCTCCTTCAGCAAAACCCTGCAGCAGAACACACAGATCAACAGGGGCTGTGTCCAAAATCACATAAATCCCTACTACTCTATAGTATTTCATGAATAGCATGTGAGCCGAGTAGTGCGTCCAAATTCATAGCACCCATAGCATAACACACATACTACCCAGATGACCTACTGCTTCTGGTGAGATTCTGAAGTGTGCATTTAATGGATGCTACTCTATCCCATAATGCACCACGAGATAATTAATGACCAAGAGTTAAGCAACACAACTAACGCAGGTATGCCACATGACAATGACAAAAGCCGGATGTAGTACCTACATGTTTAATTCATACTATATAGCACATACTTTTCTAATGGAGAAGTGTAGTACATACTGGAGTATTCGGGACGCAGCCTTGGACTTCACTACTTCTACTCATATTTGCAAATATAAACGAGGGTCCTGGGATTACCTGAGAATTAAGAGCAACATAGAGAGTGTAGGGATCGTTCTCCATACAGGACGAAGACCTCCTGACGCGCTCTTTCCTGCAGATGATGGATCCTCCACGCTGGAAGACTGGGATCTGGAACAGGAGACGGAGAAGAGGGAGAAAAGCAGGATTCTGTCATTTCTTGAAGCTAAAACACAAGACTGAGGAATAATAGAAAACTAGTTTTGAAATTAATTTATATTTATTTATATTCCTACATGAATCCATCCATCAAGACAAGGGGTCTGTTCTTCGTACCTCGCTTAAATAATCTAAGATGATTTGGCAGATCCTGGATCTTTTAATCTTGATAACTGATCTCTCACTAATTTGGTTCTTCAAACAAGTTCGCGAATCAGATTAGAATGTCTGGATAAACTGATCTGAGATCGCTGCGTGTGTTGTGAAGGACAGATCTATCGATCCTCGAAATCATGATCAGCAATGCAACGATTGGCTGACGGCACAGCAGCGTAATGACATCATCTGATTAATATTCAATTATCCATGTGAGCAAAATGACATCAAATTAGCAGTAAACTGTTAGTTAAATACCTCATGCAATAATAATAATAGCTGCAGGCTTTACACTTTCATGTGTCACGAGTATTCATCATGTCTTTCAATGCAAATCAATGTATTTAGTTCCACATTTAGAAAAGATTTTCTTTATAATAGTAGCCGTTTTTTAATCGGTGTAAAGAATAACTGGATGTTTACAAAAGCGTTTTCATATTGGTAAAGGCGTCTGCAACTTTTGTGAAGCATCAAATCACCGGCATATTAACTGTCAAAACATGTTTATGACTGCATAAATGTATTATTGCTTTAAAAAAAAGTCACATATTGTGCATTTCTATTATACACAATTTGTACTAAAGCGATCTAAAAAGTTCATATCAATAAGTTTTCTCTTTGCACCACCAGGTGGCAGTCTTTGTACTTTCATTTCGAGGGTGCAGATTGCATACGTTTTATTAATATGTATAACTTTATTTATTTTATTATTAACTATAACTTTATATATATAGTTAAAAAATACTATTTCCAAGTGTATATAACTACTACTGTAAGAAAACATCAGAATTCAGAACATACTTTCTCTATTATCTTTGCTTGAACTGAGCCGATCTAATCCTGTTTATATGAATTGAACCTGCTCCCGATCAGGTTTGACCTAGCAGAACTGTTGCTATGACAACAACTCTCAGATCAGCTTTGAAGAACGAAACGATCCTGGATTGTGTCAAATTGTCAATATCCAAATCCAGCTAACTGAGTAATCCACGTACGAAGAACGAACCCAAGGTCTGAAAAATCATCTGAACTACATTACCCAATACTATAGTAACTTATAGTAGATACAATAGAACCACACTATGATAAAGTACATGATACTGTCTGTCTTTATGCATGTCTATTACTTATTTATTATTGCATGCATGTATAATTTATTTATTTATTATATTAGTAGTCCTGTGAATTGGGTTTTCTTTTTTCAAATATTTCCCAAAGGATGTTTATGGAATTTTTCCACAGTACTTCCTAAAATATTGTTTCTTCTGGAGAAAGTCTGATTTTTTTTTTTTCGGCTAGAATAAAAGCAGTTTTTTTTTTTTTACTATTTTAAAGTCATTGTTATTATGAAGCTAGTTTTGTTTCTTTATTATTCAAACAAAAATATTTAGTTTTAGGGAAAATTGTGTACATAGTCGTTTACAAACAAACAATTGCAATTTTTAAGAAGTTTAATCAAAAAATGATGTCAATGAAAATAAAATGTTTTGCAAAAAATAAACTATTGTCCTATAAAAAACTAAAATTACGTACATTGTAATTAAAAAAAGAGAATAAAAAGAATTAAATTCTAAAAACATTTAATAAATTTTTTTTTTTAATTATCGATAAAAAAATTTTGCTTTGCAAAAAATGAACTATTGCCATTTTACGACAAGGTACCACCATAGTATTCAATGGGTGCTCATTCATTTTGCTTTCAATCTATCGGTTCTATTTGTTGCAGATCTAAAAACTTTGCTTGCGAATAAAAAGTTATAAAAAGTTGAGCGCTAATAGGAGGGCTAATAATTCTGTATATATACAGTTGAAGTCAGAATTATTCGCTGCCTTTTTAATTTTTTTTCAAATATTCCCCAAATGATGTTTAAAGGCTCGTTCACACTACAAGCGACTCGCAGCGGCAAAGCAACAAGCGACCGTTCATTTTAATGAATAGTAAGCAAATTCCGGTGACCTCGATCTACACGAGCGACAGTGATCATTAGCGACCAGGTGGGCAAAGTTGAGAATGCTTCAACTTTATGCAAATTAAGAGGGACATTCTTTAGCGACAGCCAATAGGATCACCAGTAGAGCTCACGTGATTCTCACCTCGCTCAGAGGTCGGTTGTATTCTCCGTGCTACAGACCTGTGCTTCCAGCGGATCGCCACCCAGAGTGACCGGCAGCTACAAAGTCGCTACTAGTGTCAACGAGGCATAGCAGATTCAGGATTTCTCACAGTATTTCCTATAATATTCCTTCTTCTGGAGAAAGTCTGATTTGTTTTATTTCGGCTAGAATAAAAGCAGCTTTTAATTTCATAAACCATTTAAAGCTTAACATTATTAGCCCCCTTAAGCAGTATTTGTTTTCGATTGTCTATAGGACAAACCACTGATATACAATGACTTGCCTAATTACCCTAACTAACCTAGTTAAGCCTTTAAATGTCACTTTAATCTGAATACTAGTATCCTGAATAATGTCGTCAAATCATATTTACAATATAAAAGAAATCAGTGATTAGAAATGAGTTATTAAAACTATTATGATTAGAAATGTGCAGAAAATATTAAAATATCTTCTCTCCGTTAAACAGAAATTAAGAAAAAGAAAATAAACAGGGGGGCTAATAATTTTTACTTCATCTGTATATATAAAAATGTGGACTATTCAGCTACTAAAGTATTCTGGGTAGTAGCAATGGTGATCTATACTTGCATTGGCCCATAATTTACATAATTGGCCCATTATTTGCAGCAATATTACAAAATAAAAGGTCAAAACATGAAATAATCAGCACATACGGAGCTCATGGTGACAGGAATGTAGAGACTCTGATCCCCATCATGCTTCTGGAGAGAATGAACGTCATACCAGACCTACAAGAGTAACCCGGAGGATGTTTTAGAGAGTGTTGGAGGAAATAAAAATCAATTCCAGATGCCCTAACGTTCAATGATGATAAACACATCACCTCGCCTTTCCCAGGCAGATATGCAGTAACACCAGTGGCGCCCTCATCAGTGACCGGGTGCACCAGCAAATCCTTCCCTACCATGACAAATGAACATGTTTTAGACAAATCTACTCTGACATTTACAAATTATAAAAGAAATAATATATATATATAGAAAACCCTCACCAATCAAGTACTCATCCTCAATTGAGAAAGTGGTGACCTCGGCAGGATATTCTACCCACAGAGGTCTAAGAAAAGAGTTTAATTAACACTGTTTGAGAACCAAAACTTTAAAAGCTGTAATTGTTTTTATTTAACTGTGAAGGGACATGATGATTGCCCAATAGCTTGGTTTTAGGGGTCATTTTTGTAGCATTTAATATACATTAATCGGCCACTTTATTAGGTACACCTATCCAACTGCTCCTTAACACACATTTCTAATCAGCCAATCACATGGCAGCCATTCAATGCATTTAGGCATGTAGACATGGTCAAGACGATCTGCTGCAGTTCAAACTATCAGAATGGGGAAGAAAGGGGATTTAAGTGACTTTGAACGTGGCATGGTTGTTGGTGCTAGACGGGCTGGTCTGAGTATTTCAGAAACTGTTGTCTTACCTCATAACTGGCTGTCCAGTGTTGTGTGCATTGTAGAATAGCTGGTACCAGTTTGGCAGGAGGGCATATCGCTGGCGCACCGCCTCCCGGATGAGGGCAGTGTTTTCTGGGCCGAACAGCCAGGGCTCCCTGCGCGGTGTGTCTATGTGAGCGTGTGCACGGAAAAATGGCTGATAAGCTCCAGCCTGATACCATCGCACCAACAGCTCAGCACTGGGATGTTTAAAGAAACCGCCAACATCAGCTGAGGGAAAAAGAAAACAGCATGTGAGACAAAAGGAAAAGATTTCAAGCTAATTTCAGAGATCCAGAAAACTTAAACTAGTTGATTTCCAAAGATGCAATTTGACATTTTGTAGTTTGTTTTGTTTTAATCTCTGTTTCTGGACTTGCACACAATATAAATTTCTGCAGATAATTCAGTAAAATTGTGTTCACATGCTCATTTGCCTTAAAAAAAAGAGAAGAAATAATGAGTCTAGTATTATTTTCATGAAAAAATATATAAATATAATAAATCTAAAAAATGAATAAAATAAATAAAGAATAAATAAACAAAATAAATAAAATAGAATATAAACAAAAGTAAATATATTAAATAAATAATAATATATATATGAAATGGATAAAAAAATGCCAAATACGTAATATAAATAAAAAATAACATATATAAAATAAATAAAAATAAATAATCAATATAAAAATAAATAAATATAAAAATAATAAAAATGTAAAAATAAATAAAAAACAATAAAATATATAGAATAAATAAAAAATAAAAAAATAAACACAATGAAATAAATAAACATAAATAAAATAATACAATATTAATAAAAACTAAATATATTTATTAAACCTAACCCTAAATAATAAAAAAGTAAAATAGATAAATAAAAATGTACAAATTCATAATATGAATAAAAATAAATAAATATATTAAATAAATAAAAAATAGAAAAATATATAACAAAATAAATAACAAAATAAAATATAAATAAAAAATAACTATATTAAATAAATAATTGTAAAAAATTAAATATATTTAAATAATTTTTAAAATATATAAATAAAATATAAATAATATATAATATATGAAAATAAATAAAAATATATATTATAAATAAAAAATAAATTTCTTAAATAAATTGAAAAAGTTAAAATATATAATATAAATTTAAAAAATATACATAATATTTTTAAATCAAGAATTAAAAACAAAATATTCATAAATAATTCCATTTAATTAAAATAAGCAAACACTTTAAGGTTACAGATTAGTAAATAGCTGACCTCCACAGAAAGAGATGCCCACTAAGCCCAGACTCAAGCACATGGGGATGGAGATCTTCAGATGACCCCATTCAGCAGCATTATCTCCTGTCCACACCGCACCTGAGCCATACAGACAAAAAACACTTTCAAATTAGGCCTGCACGAAATTGGAAAAAAATAACAGTCCTATATTTTCTTATTCTGTGATATACACTGAATTATGTACAGAATTTCCCCAGATGACTGAATATCTCTATAAAGAAAGAATTCAAAATTTTACATTGAATGGGATGATTCTATAGGGGAGTGCTTCTGCATAAACTATAATAAACAAAACCATACATCAATATTATATTACAGAAAACTTTACAATTGTAAAGTCTAACAGTATTCAGGTACTGTAATTAAATTTAAAAATAAATAAATCTAATCACACGTCTCTCACCGTAACGCTGAGATCCAGCAAAAAATGCTCTGGTCAGAACGAAAGGTCTCTCCACTCCTCCAGAACGCTGAATCAGGCCTTCAGACGTTGCCTTTTGCTGGTGATTCAAAAATATAGTTGAGAAGATCAACATTAGACTTCACGCTCTGTCCTTTAAAGTAGGCATAATATTTTCCATCCCGTTTTGACATATTCCAGCACTCCTTAAAGAGATAGTTCAACCCAAAAAAAATGAAAATTCTGTCACCATTTAATCCCCGTCCACTCGTTTCAAACCAGTTTCTTTCTTCAGTTGAACACAAAGGAAGATACTTTGAAGAATGTCAGAATCATGACTTCTATAGTACCTTTTGTTTCTACTGTGGATGTCGATGGTTGCTTTAATCCAACATACATTTATTAGATACATTCTTTTATATTCAACAACAAAAAAAAAAATCTTAAAAGTTTAGGGCAGGGGTGTCCAGACTCAGTCCTGCAGATTTAGCTCCAACTTGCTTTAACACACCTGAAAGGATGTTTCTAGAATGCCTTGTGAGAGCTTGATTAGCTAGATCTGACTGAGGTTGGAGCTAGATTTTGCAGGACACCGGCCCTCCAGGACCGAGTGTGGACACCCCCCGGTTTAGAGTCACTTGAGTGAGAGAACAGCTCTTTTAAAAATGTCGATTTTCAGTGTAATCTTTCCATATTACATTAACTTTTAATATTTAATATAGCAGGAAACATTCTCTTACCACATAGAGGCCATAAAGGTTGTGCACGTCTCTGTGCTCCCAGACACCGTGAACCGCATCTTTGTGCATGGTCACCTCAGGCCCATTAAACACAGACGGCTCGTTCATGTCATTCCAGATGTACTGATTCTCCATAGAGCCCTGCACAAAAATAAATAATTCATGTGTTTTTATTTATTTGCGACATCAGAAACTTACGGCCAGGGGCGTAGTTTTAGGGTGGACGTGTCCCCAACAATATCCACAAACTACTGAAATGTCCCCACCAATAATTTAATTCACTTAAAAACATCGCGCTGTCAGTATAAACCTAGACATGCTGAAAGGGTTAAATCACGTTCTCTCCTCGAGTCGCACCGCCCCCAAACACATATGAACATTGTGATTGGCTGTGCCTTTCCCTGCTGTCATGTGAGTGGCTGCTTTCAGATTATAGTTTCAGATACAAACAGCGCCAAAACAACTGCGCGGGGGGGGGATTTCCCGATGTGTGTGAGGTGTATGACAGACACACATAAGTGAGGATGGAGGTAGCAAGAAGAGGTGGACATAAAGAGCTTTTTCCAACAAAAAGTGTGAGTCACATAAACTCAAGTTCGCTACTGAATGAGTCCATCACGATAATGCTGCTATCCCTGGTGTTTTCACCGCTTTTACGGTCAGTTGAATGTTAAAACAGACTGATATAGTCTGTAAACAATATTCCCTGAAAACTAACTGCATAATAAACACCTACATGTAAACGTATATGAACCTGCCAGTTCTCCTAATCTCTTAGAGTAACATCTCCAAGTTCAGGTGAAACAATTTGTCAGAAAAACTACAGCCTGTGCACCATCTTTTAATAATACTATGAGACATGTTTAATTTGTACGAAAAATGAACGAAAGTCTTCATTAAGCTCTCTCTTTATCAGTTAATAAACATTATTTTAACATAACACTTTCAGGCCTGTAGCCAGCTTATTAAAAGGGATTATTTGTTTTCTGAAAAACTGAACCTTTTTGCAGTTATTCACCTGATTTTCTGTTTAATTGAGGTATAAATCTAACATTTTAGTGACATATTAACAACTAATTTTTGCTGGATAATCTTGTTGGATAGTTATTATAACTACACTTTTTGATGTACCAAAACTATTTCCTACCATTTTGTCAAATTGCTTTATTTACACGTTTAAACTGTAAGTTTTATTACAGTTTTATAAATAATAAAAATACTTTGAACTAGAAATTAGGACTTTAAATTCTTAGAATAAAGAAATGAAGAGTACAGATGCCAAAACCTCTAAATGCCATGTAAAATGAGCATTTTTCTCAGCCTTGTATATTTATGTTCAGTTTTTTCACTTTAAAGACAATGAAAATAACATATTTGTCACTATAAAAGTAAAATCACTGTGTCCACACACAGGAGTTGAAGAAAAATGCTCATTTTAGAAGAAAATATTAAATGGCATTTAGAGGTTTTTGCATCTAAACTCTTCAAATATGTAAATATACTTATTTTTTAAATACGATTTTATAATTATAATTTTCTTTGGGAAATCTGTTAACTTGATTTAAATTAAAAACTGAAGCCTACAGGCAAATAACAAACTGGCCAGCGCATTCAACCTTCCTCAGTGAGAATTTGTCCATTTGAATAATAAGATAAATTCAAACATAATAATAGTAATCCAACTTTTGGTCTTTCAAACCACCTGACCCCACTTGGCTACACGCATGACTATTTAATTTAACTTAATAAATTGTTAGAAAATAGGATTACTTAATAATACATTTTAATAGCAGTTAAATAATAAATAGCAACATGTATATAAAAAAAATTATATATATATATATATATAT